AGTATCACAATTTCCTTGCGTTTGAAGTGAGCACTCGCTCATATAGCATTCATTCACCTCCGTGAGAGCGAACGTTGAAATATAGACCTGGCTAAGTTTAGCGAAGAGTAAGGCCTGCCGAGTCCCATGCCTCTCTGACGGACTGGGTCCAGGTTACTAAAACACTCAGTGGGGAAGCTAACCCTTGAATCCCGGGCTTGAAACATGAAAGTTGCTTTATATGGCTGCTGCTAGAGTCACTGAATGTTCCCAGGGTGCGGAAACTCCATGGCTCGAGGTGCCAAGATGGTGGCTCAATCTTTTTATTTACTGTGGTCACCATGAGTTTTACAAAGCATCATTTCGCGTAAAAACAAACGGATATAACTTTTTCCGTATAAACGTTAATCGTAGATTAGTACAAAATAACAGGCGCGTGATGTTTTCTAAAATCTTTAATTTACAAGGTTTTGTGGCAAAATTGTTATTGTTTTATGCAACCATGTCTCCCCGGCCATTTCAGGCAGCGCGTCGCGATCTTGGTGCGTTCTAACTTCGGTAGCAAATTGCGGCACGTTCGCTTGGGAGACGGGGGTTGGCCATCCCTGAAACCCCTTGCACCATTTATGTTTCGTCGCCAACATGACCGATTAAAGCCAAAATAAAGCAATGGCAGACGCTATCGAATGCGATGCTCCCGAACCAATATAAACAGCCGTGCAGTTCCCCGCTGCGGAAAAAATGGCGGCGTTGCGATCGCCAGTAGCTCGGCAGGCCCTTCGGCAGTTTCCCAACTGAACTGAATGGTTCTAGTAACGTTGGCTATTAGCCCCGAGAGCGAACACAAGCGTCGCTGCGATCACCGCGCCCTGATTGGGTGAGGTGTACAGTGACGTCAGGGAGAGGACGCCGCTCCGCGATCTCGCATCCGGCTCGCTTCTTTGCACCGGTTTCCTGGTTTGGCGTCGTGTGCCGCAAGCACTTCGAGGAGCGGGACCTCATTTACCCGGTGTACAAGACGCTGGGTTTGTCCGATATTGACGTGCTTCCGTACATTTTATAAGCCTTCCTGTCACTACCTTTATATTTGGGTTACAAACCCCGAAAGCTATCGGCGGAGGCAATTCCGTCGATGAACCTTCCTGTCCGTCCACACGACACAAGGCAAGCTTGCGAGGGGTCGGTGAAGCGGCGGCGTAAGTGTTTCAGACGCTGGAATTCTGATCCTTGCATGTTCATGGTTTAGGAGAATATTACATCCCGCTCTGCAGGCATTTGAAATAGCATTTATATTAAGGGTCTTTGGTCGGTCGGCAAATTAGCTCGTGACCGCCACTCTGCGCGTGCTACTCTGCATGCGCTGGTTCGCCGATATTTTAAAGGCCCTGGATCTGAAGGCCTTTGAAGTGCTCATGGAACAGGGTTGTTTTACATAAATGTAGCTTCTTCGTGAATAAATGACATAGCTCACACACGTATGCAGGCATGTTTTATTTTTTAGAAGGCGCAATATAAACAAGTCGACAGATACCACCAGTGGAGTCCATTGAAATACTATCCGAATCCAGCAAAGGTCAAATGCGAGCAATGTATATAATAAATGTTCCTTAATTCTTTCTTTACTTTGCCCCTGCACTTGGGCTGTCTCACTTGTGATTCTCTCTCCATGGCCCAGACTGTATTTAACATGTTGGTCAGGCAGCATTAAGCTTTTCTGCTTCGGCGATCTTGTTTAAAAACAGATACGAAAAAAAGGACACGAAGTTGTATACATAACCTGCCAATCCATTCAAACCGTCAGCAGCATTTATTGTGCGAGACGTTAATCTATAGGGATGGTCCTGCAAATGTGGCCATATTTCTTTATTTTCATATACCACCTGCGATTCATGCGTTGCCTGCCCTGTCAACCAAGCCTGAAATGTTGCTTGAAGTTTAGCCTGCAGCTACAGGCCATGCCTCAATAAAGCCAGATATTAAAATTTACAACTCCTACGAAAAACACGCACAAAAAAATTAAATAGAAGCGAGCACGCCGACAGCTAACGTCGTCACAGCCTCCACAGGGCAAGCGCGGCGAGTCAGGGAAAAATTCTGTCCTCGCCGTGACGTCACCCCGTTTCGCCGTAAGGGGGCGCCACGCAAACTTCTCGGGGCTAATAACGTAGCGTCACGGTACTGAAGCTCCGCACTGCTGGAAGAGAACGTGGCTTTTTTTTTTGTCCCATCCGGAAGCTGCGCCACTTTTGAAAACGTAGCACGTACCCACATTTCATATACGGCGTGAGTCAGTGTCGCCATACAAGGACAAACCGACCTCACACCCTGTAGGCACTCGCGTCTGCTCTGCTTCTTGCTCGCAGTCCGCCTCTTGCTTCGTGTGCGCACTGCTCGCCATTTCGAGCACGAAGACAACATACCCGCGATTTACTTCGAAAGCGCATTGACAGTTGTTAATTTTCGCCACTCAGGTCAGTCAACGATAAGGGCAGCATTCGCCGCAACAGTGTATTGCAACCATTTAATTAAAAAAAATGGCAATCGCTTGTTCGCGTTGAGACAACCGCGCTATGTACACGTGTGGGGTCACATCTGCGGATCCTTAGTTCAAGGAAAACTGCGAAATCGCAAGACGGTGTCAACATTTTGAGCGCATACTAATCTTGTATTTGATTCAAAAGGCAAGGCACAAGGCACTAAACACGAACGCTGGAACATTAATATAATCCGCGCCTGTGTGAATTCTCGTTAAATGGCCGTAAATAGTAAAGGTTATAGACACAAATCTTTATGACAAGGTAAATCGAAAGATTAAAACGTTTTTTTATTCCTAAATATTAAACTCTTTGGCACCAATAACGCTGCTAGCCAAGCTAGATGAGAGTGTCGACGATTACCGTATTTCAATGTTTCAGAATAATTTCGAATTTCACGGCTTGGTTCGCGCTGAAAATGTGGCGTGATTTTGGAACGGTTTCATTTTTCAAGACTTCTTTTGCATAAAAATTATTTTATTCGACACGGTTCAGAATAGCATTTAGAGAAGAAGTGACGCGTTATCAGAGCGTTTCTTTCGACACAAAAGCGATCTCTATGCTGCTTCTTTTCTGGAAAACGCTCTTAAGTAACGCTATAAAAAATTAAAAAAAAAAAAAACTCATTGTGGAGTTTGGAAAGGTTTGCGAAGTCCCCCAACAAAAGTAAGGCCATAGAGGGAAAGGAGGCTCGTCGCGAAATGGGAAAGTGAGAAACTCTTACCTTCGGTTTCATCCTACGATGTAAAGCAACGCACGCTATGAGCCATCTTAGCCAATTCAGTGCTCCAGGAGTGACACGTGAATTCACGCTCCGCGCGTCGCTCCGCACAGCTGAAAGTTCACGTGACACTTTCTGAGCTTTGGATTGGCTGTGGTTGGTCGTGGCGCCCGTTGCGGTCCATCGTTATGGTGAAACGGAATATAGCTCGGAAGCGAAGAACTCCCCACGTCTTTGAGCGAGGAAGTTACAGTGTAGAATCTGTGTTCGAGGACAAGCCGCATAATTTGCGTACCTACTTTTTTTTTCTTTTTACCTACTTTTTTGCCGTCAGCTTAACCTGATGATATATAGACTCCTCCCGCTGCCAACCACCCCTACGCTCACAAACCACACTTCTGATTTTGTATGCCGCCCAAAAAGGGCACGCTTGATTCTCAACGACGTCATTGTGCTGGCTACGACCAACTGCACTCCTTCGTGTTTTATTCACCGGGTGACCTTGTTCTAGTATGGACACCACAAAGACGAGTCGTATTCTCCCAGAAGATGTTTCGACGCTACGCCGGCCCATATCGCATCTTTGCACCAGGTAACGACGTAACTTATACGTTGCTCAACCTTTGCAATCGTCTCAGAATCCAAATAGAAGCTGACCTAAAATCGACACCGTACACGTTATGCGACTCATGCCTTATCAACTTCCACGAAACGACGAGACGCCATTTTTTTTTTTCTGGAGGGGAGTAATGGTACGGAGAAGAAGAAATCCCGATAACCACAGGACGAGTGAAGTAAGGACGACAAAGCTGGAAGCTTTCCGTTCCGGACAAGAACCAACATTTTTCTATTTTTTATTTCTCTCAGTGCATACCAAACCATTTTCATTATCACTACAACAAAATGCTGGGCTTGTTGTTCTCGAAAGCTTGTATAACTGTCGCACTTTAATGCTGTCGTTCCAAACTCTTCTCTTCTAATGGCAGTTTTTATTAAAAACAATTCCTTACAAAAGAAACTGCTGAAAAAAGTAAACACGCTTCCTCGTCTAGACAAAAATAACTACGATCAATGTCTCTACCCTCTGTTCTAAAATCTTAAACCGGCAAAAAAAAAAAAAAAAAAAGGAACGGATAAAAGAAGCATTGAACGAGGATTTCCAGAAACAATCTCGGAAGTAACTTCATCCTTAGAGCCCGAAAAAAAAAAAAGATCGTTTTCGCGCCGCTGAACCACCGCCGGATGAGGGAATAAAAATATCGATTAAAAGTAACCACGCTTCTCCATCGCTGTAGTGCAGAGCAGTGAGGCAAAGCCAACGCGTGCGAGGAAGCCGGCACGCGCGAGTGACTTTGCCGCGCTGAAATTGCTCCCGGTCGCTTCACGTCACCGTTGTCTAAAAAAAAACCGAAGAGTACGCAAAATCCTCATGTGGATTCATGGGGGCTACTCTATTTTCATCGGATGCCGTGTAGCGAGAGAGGCGCCCGTGTTCTTCCGAAACTGCGCTCAGTTCCTGGTTTACGAGGAGAAAAAATGTACCTTACTAGATAACAGAAATAATAAAACACAGAGAAAACAAAACACAGACGAGTAGACATTCTCTCAACTCACAAAGAAAAGCCTGCGAACCAACTTTCTCTTCCTTCATCACTACTTTCTCGTCGATCCCACCGTCAACGCACGCCTGCACTGCGGTATTTTTTTCGGCAGCGGCGGGCACGCTCGCACGCACGGGAAAAGAAGTAGTTTCAAGCGCGGCTTACCTCTGCGGCGTGGTCTTGGCGGCCCTTGATTGATAAGGCGGCTGCGCTGTCCGTCACTGCGTCCGTCGACGGATTCTCCCCGCGGGACCTCCCGTGTCGAGTTTCCGAGCTCGGGTCCCGGGGCGCAACTCGGCACCGGCCGCCATCGATTGGCTGCGGAGACATTCGCAGGAACCCTTGGCGCCGAGGCCGACCGGAGAGTAGCGACACCCTTCGAAAGCTCCCACAAACTAAGGTTCAGCGCTCATGCTTCTGCTCGCCAACGTGTTCAGGCTGTAGTGCAGAGAAAACACACTCTAAAAAATAAAAAAAAAGGTGCTTGCTTTATTTTAATTTTAGGGATGAATTTTTTACTGAATGTATTGGCGCAGCATTCTTCGGTGTTTGTGATGGATACAGCAGGTTTTTTGTGTTTGGTTAGGAAATGGTATTTTATTCAAACTCTGTCCTTATTTGTGTGGTGGTGGGCACGTCTTGGATTTCTTGTTTCTTCCGAACACGAACGCCGATCGCCATAACACCGAATACATTCGTGTTCGAACAATTAACACAAAGACCCCCCCCCCCCCCCCCCAAAAAAAAAAAAAAAAAATGGCCAGGACAAATCTCGCCAATTTAACGTTTACCCGCTAAGTGGCGCAATTGTAGAATGTCGAGCTCACAATTACGGAGTCGTGGGTTTTTATTCCGGTTTTAGAATTTAATTTTTTTCTTCGCAATTCCCAACATTGTTTTATAGGTTGTCCTCTGATGGGTGGTGTTACGCATCTCATAACACTTTACACGGGGTTCCGTCACATATTTTTTTATGGATCGCAGCCCTTAAGCGCATTCTGCGTCAAACGAGCCGCCGCGTGTCTAAACTCGGAAGAGTGCCCGAGAGTCTTTAGGGTGGAGCGAATATTCAGGTAAAGCGCAAAGTATGCCCGCCAATTTGGCGCCTCAATGTGTCCTTGAAAAGTACGATTTAGCGTTCGGTTTTACATCGACGCTTAGTATCTTCTCTGAAGCAAGCAAAATGAAATGTACAAATGGAAACACCGGACATTGACGCGCACTTTCCAGTCGCACTAAAAACGAGGTTGGTCGCTCCTGTCGGGAGGCTACGCTGCCCTACGCATATTTATTTCTTATTAAAAAAATACCATCGCCTTTTTTAAAAATGTTACATATACTAAATATTTTAGGGAGTCACGCGGCTCACACATCGTACAAAAAATAAAAATAAAAACAACGCTGTTTGATGCAGACATGATGGCAGAATTAGTATCTCCGGACATTTTTCGATCATGTTCGAAGCAAGTGTGACCGCGATCTCCCAATCACGACTCGAACACTGGCTCATATAGTCATTTCATTGTGGCCACCTAGAGTCAAAGTAAAAGCGAAAGCGTATAAACTTTCTGCCGACCCGCCGCTCACATCTGCCACATCTCCTCTGGTGCCACCTGTCGATAGGAGCAGCCAACCTGACTGTGGGCCCTACACGGCCTTCCGAGTCGGCACCCGGGATTCGATCGAAAACTCCGATCTTGTTTTCCCTAGAAAAAATGACAACGCACAGATATTTGACGAGGTAGGCACTAAAGTAATCTGCGATGAATCTTTTGAGTTGTGAAGGCGATATTATTTCCACAATTCTTTCAACGGCATCCGAATGTCTCTTTGGCCCCGTACTTTTACGACGAGCAATAACGGTGGTCTATGGAGCGTTTCGAGGAAAGATAAGAAAATTCCTGTCTGTAGGGCTGTTGCTTTGGGCCAGGGGGTAAGAGCGTTACCGCTCATTCACACTGAAAGCGGATCCGCGTTCGCAAAGCGGTTGGGAACACGGTTGTATAAAGATCCAGTACAATTGCACGCGCACTCGATGACATCGAGTGCGCGTGCAATTGTACTGGATCTTTATACAACCGCGTTCGCAACCGCTTTGCGAACGCAGATTCGCTTCCAGTGTGAATGAGCGGTTAGACGCGATCCTGTAATGTTTGCAATGAGCATAAAGATGCACTGTAGTATTCGATCACGCACGGCCATTTGCAAGCGCGTGTAAGCACCTGCCCACACGCGGTAGCAAAGCGTATGAAAGAACTGCGGGGAGCGCGAGTTCGTCTGCTTCTTTTGCGGGAGTTGTGGTGACGTCAGAAAGACGCCGAGCTCTGATTGGCTCTGATTGAAGAATAGTGGGTAGGCCTCTAGGCTGCTTGCTTTGAGGTCTACCCACTATACTTCAATCAGAGCCAATCAGAGCTCGGCGTTCTGACGTCACCACAACCTCAGCAAAAGAAGCAGACAAACTTGCCCTCAACCTAAAAAAAAAAAAAAAAAATGAAAACCAGAGAAATGCGGCTTGCGCTTTGTCCTGTCCAAACAATAATAATGCTTTTCTTGGCGTCTTTAGTTCTTATTATTTGCAGGGAATGTATATCCACCAATAAAATTCTGCCAGCTTGGCGCACGCGAGCAATGTGAGAGAGCGTCTATGATGCACAGCTGAAACGCGACCAAAAAAGATTCGATTTTGCATCTGTCGGAAAATGCCAGCTCTTATCTTGAAGCGATCTATGCGGCGCTGCCATCGACGCTTGAACGAGCAATAAAATGAAGGGTGGGAGAGGATGAGGGAAGAGGAATGCCTTGGGTGTCAGAGCGCTGTGCACACTCGAAGCTCATGTCGCCAATAACGCCGAAAGCACAACTTCGCGGCTTTCATCGTATATCCAAGTGTTGAGTAAAGAACATCTAAAATTACTTGAAGTAAAGTACAAAGTATATTAAAGTAAAGTAGTGAGTACACCGGGCGCAATGTTTTTCAGGTAAAAAAACTGCAACTACAATATACTTACAAAGTTAAGCACATGTACTTTTTAACACAATATTTCGTGATGCCCTTTCATTCCAATATACAGTGTTTTTTCTTGTTTTTTTTTAAACTGGTACGCATTTCCCTTGGGGTAAATCAAGTAGGCAGAGAGTTGTTTAATACTACCGTCAGACGGATTCATTTACAGTCACTTCAAGCCAGTGCACTTCAGCGCGTCGAGTGCCCCTTTAAGTGCTTTCCTTCTACACGGCAAAATTTACAGTCACTTAGAAATAATATAAATGACAATGGTAAAAGCAAAAATCACGAAAATTATTTATTATACGCGCAAATGGCTCAATAATATTTTTGTATCCTTATTAAAATCATATTACCAGACGTTACTACGTTAATACAACGCTTTAGGACAATTCGATGAGTATACTGAGCCATCAAAAGCCGAGACAAGTATGAAGCACATATTGTATCCCACACCTGGAAGACGTTCGTGCGACGGAGGTCTTCCAGGCGGTCTTGCCGCAGTTTCAACACAGCAAAGGTCTCCTGGTCGGGCCATGGGAAACTTGGAGTTCGCGGTGCTGTGGCCGACTACATACTACAATCCGAAGCTGGTGGTTTCGCGCTCAAGCGCTACCTCTTCGACTCGTCTTTGAATATCAAGAATGGGCGCCGAACGTTGTTGCGCAATCAAGTGTAATGTGTACGTCGAAAAAGCTTAGAGTTAGACTATAGCCGTCTGTTTTTTTCTGCATGATATATTACTTTATGTTGGCATAAAACAAGTGCACTCATAATAGTACTTCTCTTAAAAATACTATCATTTTATGGAGTTTAATTGTTCTCCAGTAGACTGAGTGTGTAGTCTCTACACACTCAGTCTCGTGGATCTAGTGTAGCGATTTCACGGACCACACTGAAAGTCGAGTGCGTTCTTCGTTGAGTGGCACTAAAAGGTACCGTGTGGCACCGCACGAGTGAGAGTAGGGGCGAAGTGCACTCGGTTCAAGTGACACTAAATTAGCCAGTCTGAACGGGGTACTCCAAAAGCGAGCAACCGATAAAATGCGGGGAAATCGAGGGAAGGGAAAGTAACGGAGGGAGGAAGGAGGGAAGAGACGAAAATATGAAAATGAAAAGTCAGGTCGACATAGTTGTCTCTGATTTGAGAGGACTATTCAACTTCAGTCTCCGTCAGAAACAGTGAAGGATTAGAAACGTTGTAGTTTTCGCTGTTCATGGCGAATGACTCTATAAAACGTGGGCTATCATAGACTTCCACTCCTCTCTTAGCTACTTTCCCTTTCCTCGCTTTTCCCGTATTTAATCGGTTGTTCGCTTTTGGAACTCCCCCATGTCCGTTGTTATGCTTCGTTTGACCTTAAGTCCAGACGCTTCCGACGCTACGATCTAACGGGGCCAAGCGTCGAAAGCACACCATCATTTTTTTGTACGTGTTTTATCATCGCTGAACCAAAAATAAACAAAGAAGGCCCAGTGACTACTTGCGCTTTCGACGATGCTGGGTTGGTCCCATTAGCTGAAACCAAGTATAGTTGAAAGATGTCGTGGTGTCGTCTTCGTCTTGTTTATTCGTTCTTCAATCTTGACCCGCACCAACCCGCTCTTCGTCGATTAATAGTTGCTGGTTATTCGGCCAGGTTACGTTACTCGGGGCGTCTGGTGTTTCCGGTTTGAACCGATGAACACCGATAAAAGTATGAGCAAAAAGTGAGTGCAGGGACGAGCTGGTGTAAGTTGAACACAATTGCGAGAAACCCCGAGGCTGGGTAAAGTGAGAGGCGGAAGAAACACACAGGTCCCTAGAGACTTGGTGTTTGCCCTATTCCTTATTTTACACTAGTCTCGGGGTATATAATAGTTATGACAAAACATGTCAAATAATTTATATAAATGTTTTTTTTTTTTTTTTTTTACAATAAAGGTTGGTTTATTAGAGCAGGATGGCACAGCTGATACGCGTCGGGGGAAAAAAAAAAGGCCCCGGGGGGGGGGATGTTCATCGTCGAGTTGACTTTCTTTTCTAGTTGTCAGATATCATTATATATTCCTATGTTGCGCTTCAGGGAGCGAGGTCAATATAAAAAAAAAAGAAAAAAAGTATTTTGGAAGCGGGGCTTGCATTGTAGATTCCATTCGTGTTTCTATTAGTGACTGTGTTTTCTCTCACGCCTGAAACCAATGGAATTGGATTGTTTTTATTGTCCAATATATCTCGCAGATTTTAATTTTATAATTGCTAAGGGAATTTTCGGATCTTCGAACAGAGAGCATGACGAGATTCACCCATTGACACCAGAATTCACGCCCATCCATATCGGTCTCGTATATATTTGTCCATACCTGTTTAATACTTGTTTTTTTTTTTTTTATGGTGGTACACACTTGTGTGACAAATCTAAATTCCATACGTAAGTTTATCTT